ATGCTTCACCAATTGCACCACCGAGGCGTCCCTGTGCAACTGTTTTTAAGGTCATGTCATCTGTACTTCACAGGGGACGACCAGTGCACAAGAAGGGTAAACCATCCTGCTCAGAGTCTCAACAACTCAAACTTCTGACTGCAAATTCTCTTCCTTCCACTCTTCTGTGGTTGCCTTCACCTTCTACACCACAGGGAAAGAAAAATCAGATCCAAAGTCAAAGAGCTGGCTCTCTGTGAAAGCAACTCCATTAATTTTAGTCATTTCTGCCTTCTTTACCCCAGCTATTATCCCACATAGACATCTGTGAAATATCACTTGGGAATCAAAGACATTTCCCTTGTAGTGTAACTTCAAGATTAAATGGCCATTTCGAACGTTCATTTTTCTAATCTTGTTTATTGTCTGTACCATGAGCACTTTCGCCACTCTCCAGGCTTTCGTAGTAACTTATCTTAATTAACTGCGAAGAAACCAGAGTGACCAGGCAAAGAGAAATGATGTCGGCTTTAGAATCAACTCAGACAAATAAGTAGATGGAACCAAATTTTCTGGAAGGGTCCTGCAGATAGTCTCATAGTCTTATTTGGAGAATCTCAAGAGAATTGTACCTAGGAAATAGTCAAGCCTTGTTTTCCATTTCTCACAATTGAGATTCTAGATGATTTCTGTACAATGACAGCAATAACCACTAATTCTGTATACTAATGGAGAACTCACAAAATGCTTGAGTCAGGATCTAAATGTGGATTAGACATGTCCAGCTTCTTTCCAATTCTTATGGCATGTGCAAAGAACTAGACTTCGCTAGCATTCTTGTCATTTTACCTAAACAGATGGGCCACGAGCAAGTACATCAGATTTCTTTGCTCAATGGAATTTACCTTCAGTTGATTTTATGTATTGTATGTATTGTAGCAATATTTGCACATCATAAAATTCCATATCCATGTATTGTGGCTAGTTCACTTATATTACAATTACCATCTAGCTGGATTTTAAACAGATTGGTTTGGGACCAATAGCTTTGAGATATTAATATTGATAAGCCAAAGAATAATCTAATGGGAGACATTACAAAGAGAGATTTAGTTCTAAGATAACTGGATGCACTATGCAAATTATGGGCCATAATTTGTTCAGTTTCACAATGATATTAACACTGAAAACAAAAACTCTCTATTTCTGTTATTGTTCAGAATTCTTCTAAGCAAAGTGTCAGTGATGGTCAGAGATCAGGTCCATCATGGGCCATTTTTTCTTTGGGGGATTCCATGGACAATTGGCTATTGCTATCAACCCACTGTCTTTAACTTTTGCTCTGAAAATGACAGCTTAGCAAAGAAGGTGTTGCTCATAATTATTCTCATTGGTTATCTGAAACACCGTAGATGAATCAACATTTCTGTGTGTTACGTCTTTTCCCCCACTGCTGGTCAATTGATATCTGCCTACCCCCATATTAAGAATTTTGGGTGGGAAATAGGATTATTGCTTATTTTAAGATAAGAGATTCTTTCAATCTTTCAGATTGCTAAAAGTCCCTAAATTTCTGTAAAGCCCTGTTTTATTGTAAAGTACATTGGGAGAACTTCAACTCAAAAGAATGAATTATTATAGTAATATACAAATAGCCTCTTCCTAATATCTTCTTTTTGTTGTTTTAATTAACTTTTGGTAACAATTCTTTTTTTAATTTAATTTAATTTTTTTAAAAAGATTTTATTTATTTGAGAGAAAGAGCAGAGCACTAGAGAGCACATAAATGGTGGGGAGGGGCAGAGGGAGGGGAGAAGCAGGCTCCCCGCTAAGCAGGAAGCCCACATTAGGCAATTGTTTGCTTTTTTTTTTTTTTTTTAAAGATTTTATTTATTTATTTGAGTGAGAGAGAGAGAGCACAAGCTGGGGGAGTGGCAGAGGGAGAGGGAGAACCAGGATCCCTGATGAGCAGGGAGCCCAATGCAGGGATCAATCCCAGGACCCCGGTATCATGACCTGAGCCCAAGGCAGATGCTTAACAGATGGATCCACCCAGGTGTCCCTTTTTTTTTTAAATTTTAGAAGGAAGTCTAAATACATTTCTCTGAAATATAAAGTGCTATAAGAGAATATAAAGGTGAAAAGATAACTGGAAAGACCACTTTCTCCCTCAGTCTAGGCTAGCTTATATAATAGTAATAACCCAAGTCATAATGATAAGTAGATTTGTCTATTCTGAAACCCACCCGACACTGTTTCAATTACCAGGCCTTTTCAGTATTCTTTGACCCCTGATGGAGGAAGGCCCTTTTTATCATTTGAAAATGTTGGGGAGATACTTGCATACTGATAAAAATTCAAATAATTTTCTCAAGTTACATAAAAATAATCCTTGGAGGATTATGATTGAGATTGTCTTAAATAGATAATTTATAGAGACTTGATTTTTTTAATTGAGTCTTCAGAAACATGAAGTTTCTGCAAGTTTCCTGTTCTCATTTAGGTATGGAGGTGAATTTCTAATATCTATAACTATAAATTTCTCTGTAATTTAGCTCTGTGGGCATTTGTATTAACAATCTATTCTAAGCGTTTCTCAATTACCTTTTTTAACCTGAATTATTTTGTTACTGTGACTATATTTACTGAATGTATAGGATCTTTTTATCTTTTGGTTTGTTACTTATTTTTAATTTTACTGAATAAAATCAGTGACATAGTATGTATGATGTCTATTCTTTGGAATTAATTGAGACCTCCTTTTCTGACTTATTACATGTTCTATTAATGTTACTGCTCTCAGAAAGAGATATACTCTGTTTCTTTGCTATTATTAATTGTATTTTTCAGCTCTTTGAAATTTCTTATTTTTCTTCCACTTGTTTCGAGATGGATGAGTTAAAATCTTCAACTATATTTGGTAATTTAACTATGTACCCCTATATTTCTGTGAGTTACTGATTTTTGTATTTTGAGACTATTTTGTTAAGAGAATACCTGAAAAAGCAGATTTTAAAACAAATATCTTATTGGGGTGCCTGGGTGGCTCAGTCGTTAAGCGTCTGCCTTGGCTCAGGTCATGATCCCAGGGTCCTGGGATCGAGCCCCGCATCAGGCTCCCTGCTCTGCAGGAAACCTGCTTCTCCCTCTTCTACTCCCCCTGCTTGTGTTCCCGCTCTCACTGTGTCTCTCTCTGTCAAATAAATAAATAAAATCTTTAAAAAACAAAAAACAAAAAACAAATATCTTATGGATTTTTTTCCTATTAAATATTACTTGACAACTTATGTTTGTTTTAAAACTTAATTTTTTTGGTCCAGTGTATTTTTTGATACTTTTTATTTTTGAACCTGTGTGTTTTTGTTTGTAGTGTGCTTCTACAATATTTTGACCTTATTTTTATTAGCCAATTCAGTAATCTCTGTCTTTAATTGGTAAGTTTAACCTGTTTACACTTACCATAAATACGATTATGTTAGTGTTTATTTCTGCCATTTTATTTCATATTCTCCATTTACAGCACCCCTTCGCTCCCTCCCTCTCTCTCTCCATATATGTATTTTTCTGTTTTCTATTGGATAGATTTTATTTTCTTCTACTAGTTTGAAGATTATACATTCTATTTTTGTTCTTATGATGGTTGTCCCTAACTTAATACAACTATTGTGTATATTTGTCCTGGGGATTTTCTTAAATTAGGGATTTTTCTGGACTCATAGAGTTGAGGACTTTTTTATCCTTTTCCACAAAATAGTCTGTATTAGCTTATATGATATTGGAAGTATCCCTTTCTTACAGGTTTTGTCAAATTTGTATTAAAACTCTGGTCTTAGTGATTTTTTAGAAGAATTTCAATGATAATGGTACTTTAAAAAAATATGAGTGTAAGTTCACTCATGTTTTCTAACATGTTAAATCAGTACTATATAACATATATTCCCTAGGAAATAGCTGACTTCATTTATATTTTATATGTGTGGTTGGAGTGTTGTACCTACCATTTTCTTATAATTTAAAAAATCTTCAGATTTTCTTTATCTATTGTATTTTTCTCATGTTTCATGCTTTTAATTGGATCATCTCTCATTTTTACTTAGCATATATGACAAAGATTGATTCGTTTTTTGGGGGGAAGGATCTTTTCAAAGAATAAACTCTTGGTTTTATTAATCAGGTGTTTGTTTTGTAACCTATATCAAGTTAAGTTTTTAATAATTATTGATTTATTCCTGATACTCCCCTTAGGTTCAATTTGTGGCTTATTTCTTAGTCTCTGGTGTTTGATATGTAATTCTTACTTTAGTATTACTTGTTTTATAAGAAGTTTGTTCAAGGTTACACTTATTATTTTAAATAAGCACATCTGATGAGTTTATAAATGTGATGCTTTCACTGTTGTTCACTTCAAAATATATTATTTTAGTCCCATCTTCCTGTTTTACCAAGGAGCATATTGGAAGTTTCTTTCATTTGTTTGTTTCTGATTTCTAGAAGACTGGATACATTTTTGGTTATCCCTTTTTATTATTAACTTTATATTCAGCGAATGCAGACTTTTGGAACTTTTAAAAGTTCCTTTGTGGCTTAATACTTAGGATTATGGAATGTTCATATCTATTATAAAACAAGCATATTTTGTTTGTCAAGTACAAAGTTTTACAAACAATTGTCTCTCTCTCTCTCTCTCACATACACACACATACACACACTTTCAGATGACATATCTCTACTGAGTTATTAAATTTTCCTGTAAGTCTATTCATTTTTATCTATTTTTACCAAGGGAATAATTTTTGAACCCGAATTTGTCAATTCCTCTTTCATTCCAAAATTTTTGCCCAGATATTTTGATTTTATATTTTTAGTTACATAAAGTTCATGTACTACTACTAACATCATTTTGATTTTGCATTTTATCATCACAAAATCTCTCTCTTTGCCTCAGTTCTTGCTTTTGATTTTGTATCACTTTTGTCTCACACAGAGTTTTTCTGTGCCTATTTTGCTTTTCTATTTTATGTAGTTCATCCTTTCCATTTTTATAAATTTTTAAGGTTTGTATGTCATCCTATTTTAGACATGCCATTAGTAACATAATGCTGGATTTTTGTTTATTTTAAAAATCTTATTTTGAGGGTGCCTGGGTGGCTCAGTCAGTTAAGGTCATGATCCCAGGGTCCTGGGATGGAGTCCCTCAACAGGCTCCCTGCTCAGTGGGGAGCCTGATTCTCCCTCTCCTCCCCCACTCATGCTCTCTGTCACTATCTCTGTCTCTCTCAAATAAATAAGTAAAAAATCTTAAAATAAAAAAAAATCTTGATAATCACTTCTTAATGAGAAAGTTTAAGCCATTTACATTTAATATCACAGTCTTCATATTTTATGCTTTTTTTTTCTTTTCT